GGGGCGGCGCCGGAGGCGCCGCCAGGGGGATCCAGCGCCGATGCGAGAAATCCGCGAGGACCTCCGAGCTTTTATGTTTGTGTCATTGTTCACTCCCCTGAAATGCTTGACCCACGGCTGCAGTTGCCTCGGGTGCGCCAGTGTGATGGTTGATCGAGTCCTCCTCTGCGGAACTCTGGGTGTTCTTGCGGCGCCCGGGTCCTCCCTCCCCCCGCTCCCTTCTGCTTTCCCTCCTCCTCCATCGTCCTTCCCAATCTTCTGCATCCTCCCTCCCCCTGTCACTCCTCCCTCCATCGAATCCTCCCTCCCGCATCTTTCTCCTCCTCCTGCTGGAGAAGGAGGGGCACCAGAAGCAGCAAGAGCAGTAGCAGCAGCAGGAGGCAGGAGCTACGAACCGCCAAACGATCGGGTCGCGTCAGTGGCAGTGCGCCGATCGAACGGCCTCGCGAAACAGAGACCCTTCACCCTTCACCGATGACCTACTACATCCTTTCACCCGAATCTCTTTACATCATTTCGAATCCTTCACTCTTACACTCGTATATGTTGGTTCACGCCTTAGCACTACGCCGCGCCACTACGTAGCACAGGCACCACTTGCACGGCCACTTTGGCCAAGCATCCTCCATCCAATTCCTACACTGCAGCATTTTGCAAGCAGCAGCACAACGGTTTCGTCGACGTCAAACCGTGCTTGGCACCGCCAAGAGCGGGAAAGGCGGGCAGCAGCACGTACACGATTACGTGTCGCATCAGCGCGCGCCCTACTAGACCAGGAGACAATAGCCAGCTTCACGCAGCTTGCCAATTTGTCGATCAGCACTACAGTGCGCAACAGCCACCTAGCCTCTTTACCGACACAGTGTCAAGTTACGCACAGACCTTCCACGCCAAAGGCAAAAACAAAGGGAAACACCAACACAAGCATTACAACAAGGGCAGAAGGTCCCATTTGGCAACCAACCGGCCACACAGGCCACACGTATTCATCCGACCAAGGACCAGCATACCAACCGTCACCAAGACAACCATACCAACAGAACTACGACGACACCCGCCAGCAGCCAACCAGATCATCACAACATTGGGGGCACAAGCCACACGTGCCGCAACCGCCACGACCGACTATACCAAAACCAGAGGCACAACAGCCGGCAGCGACCACCTCCCGACGCGACAACATTGTACCTCAGCCAGTTTTCGGGGCAACCTCTGACCATGTGCCATACACGACACGAGAAAGCCAGGCGCTCATTGACGACATACCAGAAGCATACCACAATGACGTCCTACACAAAGACAACCCAGAGCTACACCAATCGAAGCTGGGGCCTGGCAGACGACAACAGCAGGCAAGCTTCGCAGAAATGCTAGACAGGCAGGCGAACATGCAGGCCAAGATGCGCGCCAACATCGGTAACACGTCGCCGTCATCAAGCGGCAACTACTTCAACACAAGCCAGAAGCTGAAACGCTGCAGTACATACGACGTCTCAATTACGGCCACGCTGCATGCACCAAGATCTCAGAAGCAACATTAAGATAAAAGGACTGAAGCACGACGCCAGCATACTTAAGACCACGACTTACGCCAACCTTGAAAAGGATTTACCCGACAACAGACAACAAACTCAGTCGTGACTCAGGAGCACAAGACGTGGAACTTGACATCTACCCAGTGGGGCGACAACCACCTGACCCACTCAAGCCGGCGAAACTCACCCAGCAAAATACGAAAGACGACCAGGAGACACACACATTGAGGGCATCACTACAACCGGCCGGTGCTAAGCTGGAGGACAACGACAAAGACGATGGGAGAACTCAGCGAAACCCAAAATTCAAGATGGTGAAGCGTGGAGACGGCTCACTGACACTACAACGGATTGCAGAAGATACCATACAACAGATACCAGAAGCCAGCGACCACATCTCCAACAACTACAACGAGGCCAAGGAATTCAATCAAGCACTTCGGCAATCTGGACGACGACTACAGGCAAATACGGATGCAGAGCTACGGCAAGAAGAAGCAGCACTACGCGACCCAGACCAAAACATCCTACATAACGAGCACAACATCTGCAAATAGAGACACACATGCCTGGGCCTGCGATGCGATACCACACGCAGCTACGGGACCCCCAGGCCAAACACGATTACTACACCATTGCGCACCGACCACACTTCGTGTCACATTTGCAGAAGAAGCGACCATAGCAGCATTGCGAAAAGAAGTACGAGGACAAGGCGGACAGTGGGAAGAGCAACGGCGATGCAGCACACATAACCGGCACGAGGCAACAACACGACAAGCTGAAAGAGCCATAGAGGAACACATGCAGCACACGATTCAGCAAATGCATCAGCATTGCCAGCTACAACAAGAAGAACAGGCACAACACCCCAGACCATACCAACTGATAGAGGAACATGGAATGCACTTCCTGAGGCAAGCCTTAGCCTAGGACTCGCGACAAGCAAAGTGGCACGCACTGCAGCACGATAACCACGAGGAGCAGTGCGTTTCCTGCGTAATACAACGTGGACAAGCACAGGAAGCCTTCGACGAAGAGGCAACTGCAGCACAGAAAGCAGTTCAGACAGCACAACGATTCGAACTAGCTGATCGCAGCCTGCAGAGCAAGTGCCAATATCAGGAAGCAGCACGCCTCGCCATTACAAGTGCAACAAAACAATTACACGTGGCCAACCAGGAATACCAACAGTGGATCGAAACAGCTAAGCAACACCAGCGAGGAACGGAAGCGCACATACGAAGCCATCACACGACACTACATACATACGAGACAGCTCAGATGCATTCAGACAGGCGCCAATTGAGCAGGAAGGGGAAATGGCAGCAGTACTGCGACAGATCAAAGAAGAGTACTAAGATAAGCGACGAAGCGAATTAGTCCAAGGTCTGGATCCAGTACCAGATCTTGGCCACGAGATCGAAGGTTCGATTCGCATGCAAGAAGAAGGTCGAGGTTGACACCTGCGCTTGTACAGGCAGATGACGAAGTGCAACGACAACGGCGACGACATTGACTACGCAGAGGACGGCGCGACAGCAAAGCACAGCACGACCAGCATACCAATGCATCAGGTTACAGACACCACCACCAGTGCAACAAAAGCGACACGAGCCACCAGTTCGAGTCGACTCGGCATCACAGGGCACACCACTAGCGACAACAGAGGCATACTCTGCCTTGCCTCAGCACCACGCACTTGAGCGGGGCTGAACTATTGACGGTCGCTCACTACCTGCGGGCGGCACGCCGCACTACGTCTGCACACGTCACAGGAGACAAGCGATCAGCGATCAAGACGAAGCACTACAACGGCTTGCTGAAGCACCCTCCTTGCAGCAACATGCAAGGTCACCGTCAGGTTGAGCCCCAGTTATCCACCGCAGGCCCCATCGGTCGCAACCTAGGCATGCACCGCAACGCGCGCCGGCAGCGGTCGAGACACTGAGCCACTGCCATCCCGCTCAAACTCAGCTTTGCGCATCCACCTACAATTTGTCACTTGACACGGCCCAGGGGGTCAGCACTGGCGGCTCCACTAGTTACGACATCCCATACCTGGTTTCACAAGTGGCCAGAAGAGGCGCACACATTATTCGAACCTAGAGCGCCAAAGAGCAGGCGACGAAGGGCTGGAGGTGCAAGCAGGGTGGGGCCCTAACACAGTAGGTTTCGGAAGCGCAGGCCCGCGGGCGCGCCGTCGGCGCGAGGCCAATCAATCGGGCATGGGAGCTCAAGCTCGGCGATGGCGCACCTCGGACGCGAGTGCGCATGCCCTGCGTGCGTTCCAGGAGTCTCCAAGGAGCCCCAGGCGGCGGCTGCAGACTCAGGCAGCGGTGACGGCGTGCCGCACAGGGGCGGCGCAGCTATCTACGAAGCTGAACGCCCCTCTCGATGCGAAGCTCGCGGCCAACAGCCAGGCGCTGCTGGGAAGCATTCGTGCCACGATGAGCTCTGGCCAGCAGCGTGCTGGCGCCTGCCGCCGCGACTCCTGCGCCCGCTGGAGCAGCGGCTCCGCCGTCGCCAGAAGCCCCCAGCGAGAAGGGCTTGGCGGCGAGGTCGAAGCCCGCGCAGCATGACCGACCCGCCACATATTGATGGTGCTCCTGCGACGAGAGGTTCTCTCCTACCAGGGGATGGCGGTTGCTGGCCGTGCTCACCGCGGCAATATCTTACAGTCAGTTGCACTTCTTCTTCTTCTTCATTCTATACGTTTACAGCGCTAGCGCGGCTTGGCCAGACGCCCGGCCCCGGCGCCCACCCCCGACGCCCAGCCCCGACGCCCACCACAGCGCAGACGCCGTTTTATCGCGGCGCGGCCAGGTGGACGCTGGCGCGCCGCTCGTTGGTGGGAGTTCGCCGGCCTCGATGACGGATGGGCCGGCGCGCCTGGGTCGCGCGGTTCCAGATTTGAGGAGGACGGCAATGTCTCACATTGAATTACAAGTCTTCTTCTTACTCATGCGCTTCAATCTTTACCTCCCCGTCTCTCCCGACCCCTCCCAGCAGCGCTGTGGAGTGGCGAGGTCGCGGCGTTGCATGGCCGACTTCTCTAGCGCGGCATGGCGCTTGCGTCGCGCGGCAGTCGGCGCCCGCCCCCGGCGCCAAATTCCCGACGCGCACGTCTGACGCCCCGCCCCGACGCCAAGTCGCGACGCCCAGCCCCGACGCCCAGTCCCGCCGCCCGCCCCCGACGCCCAGCCCCGACGCCCAGCACAGCATGGACACCATTTTGTCGCAGCACGGCCGGGCGGGCGCTGGCGCGCCGCTCTTTGTTGGGAGGAGGCCGGCGCATCGCGCAGCTCCAGATCTGAAGCAGATGGCAGAGTTGTGCCTTCAACCGTATGTTTTGTTATTTATATTCTTCGTTCCATTCGTCTACAACGCTCCTCCAGACCCCTCCCCGCAGCGGCGCGGCGTGGCGCGGCTGTTGCGTTGCATGGCTGTCTTCTCCAGCGCGGCATGGCCGTTGCGCCGCACGGCTGTCGGCGCCCACTCCCGACGCCCAGCCCTGACGCCCACTCCTGACGCCCAGCCCCGACGCCCAGCCCAGACGCCCAGCCTCGACGGCCAGCCCCGCCGCCCGCCGCCGACGTCCAGGCTACGGCGCCCAAGGCTCATGGCATGCTTCGCCGGCAACGGGGCGCTCTGCATGCTGCTATTGGGCGCGGCTGTCTGCACTCCTGCAGATGCAGCGTCCGCGCCCAGAGCCGGGGTGCAAGGGCTGTTCAAGGTGCAGACGGCCAATGTCACCGCAGCTCTCGGGCGGGCGCCGGCGCTGGCCCAGCGGTCTAAGGCGGCTCGCATCACGTGCTGCCGGGAGACCAAGCTGGGCGAGAAGGCGCAACTCGATTTCGCCATGGACGTGGGGGCCGATACCTCCTGCTTCTTCGGTGCGCCCAGCTGGCGCAGCTCCAACAGGCGGGCTGCCCAGCCATCAGGGCGCCCGCCAGGCCGGCGCCTATCTGTCAAGGCGCGGCGGCCCGCGGTCCTGACCAGCAGGAACGTGACCAACCTGGGCGTCATGTCATGTGCATGGCCTCGGCGGCGCTGCCCATCGCCCCACAGGCCCCCGTGTCTGCTTCGGACAAGGCCCTGGCGGAATCCGCGCGCTGGAAGCCTATCTGCGTGCCTGGAGTGGCTCGCGTCGCCACGTTCTATGGCGTCAGCGGGGCTCGCTCGGACAGGAATCTGCTCTTCAGTACCAACGAGCGTTTGTTGCGTTCGGTCTTCGCCCGGGGTGAAGCTCAAGGAGGTCGCCCCGTCATCATTATGGGTGAATTCAACGCCTCGGCGGGGGTTTCGCCTGTCCTCGCAGCCGCCCTGGCCACTCAGCGCCGGCGTGACTGCGGGTTGGCCCTCGGCGACACTGCTCCGACGTATTAGAAGTCGGATGAGGACAAAGCTCGGGGCTTGGGCGGAAGTCGCAGTGATCTGATTCTGGCCAACGCGGCGGCGCGCGCCGTGTCACGACGCTTCCGGCGCGGTTCTCCGGCAACCCCTTTGCGCGCGTCGTTGGAGGCCCACTTCGACATTGCGCTGGCGGGCCGCATGCGGTGGATTGTTCGGCCCCCCCCTCCTGTGGACGTGGACTGCATCGTGGGCGACGACTATGCCGGCGAGGCTGCGATCTGCACGGCCGCTGCTGTGCGGGGCCCCGTCGAGCAGCCCTTCGACGACGCCATTGCTCGTGCGCGCCAGGGCGAGGGCGCTCAGCAGGCTATGGATCAGGCCGCCGCCGCGTGGTCGGACGCTGCCCAGCGGCATCTGCAGTTGCGCGTGGAGGATGTCTCTGGTTCTCCGCCGGTGGGCTCTGCCGCCAGCCGGACGCGGCCACCCAAGTTCGTTCGGCAGCGGCTGGCTGCGCCGTGCCTCCACAGGAAGCCCGAGCTTGGCGCCGCCACTGCAATGACTCTCAAGACTGACAAGCTTTGGAGGTCGTTGAAGCAGCTTCACGCGAAGCAGATACGCATCAATCACGACCGCCTGGCCCTGCGGAATGGTGTGTTCGTCAGGGGCGCCGACGCGGCGAGCATGCCCGAGGCTGCGCCGTTCTGGGTCCAGCACCACCACCTTCGGCACAACTGCGCCATGCTGCTCGCCAAGTTGGCCAGGGATGCGGACCAGCCCCTCGTCATTGAAAACCCTGATCTCAGCACTTGCACGGGCATCCTGGGAGTGCTGGAGGCGGCGGGTGCCCACATCGAGGTTCTGGCCCGCTCTCGCCAGCACCTCCGCTGCCAGCGCTGGGCCTCCAAGATCAAGCGGGCAGCGACTGGCATGACGGCTGCCCTCTTCAGTCACGTCAACAGAGACGAGAGGCTCGTCGAGGCTCCAGCCCGCCACCTTCGTCGCCCTGACGGTTCCCCAACGGTGGATCCTGGGGAGATGCACCAGCTGCGACCGCACGTGTGGGAGCCCATTTTCAACATTTGTGGCGACGGTTCTTCTCCGCAGTGGGGGGCTTACCAGGCAGCCCTCCGCGACTTTATTCCGAGCGCGCCCTGCCAGTTCCCAGATTTGACGGTGGATATGTTGCGTGCCAAGATCATGGCCACTCCGACGGCGCGTGCCGCGGGAGTGGACGGTTGGCGCGTTCGTGAATTACGGAGTCTTCCCCTTGTCCTCCTTCGGCCTTGGGTTGACATCTTCGCGACCATCGAGACGCGGCACGCCCCGTGGCCTCAGGCCATCGATTATGTGCGCGGCACGTTTTTGGACAAGGGAGAGGGCGGCGCCCCAGATAAGTTGCGCCCCATCCGCGTCTTTGCGTACTTCTACTGCCTCTACACCGGCCTGCGCTTCGACCACACGAATGCACGGCGCGAGGCAGTTATGCCCTCATCCATGCATGGGGCCAGACGTGGGGCCTCCACCCACGACGTGCTGCTTCCGACTGCCCTGTGGGCCGAGTTGGCGGACCTCGAGAGTGCGGAGTTCGGTGGCATTTCCTTGGATAGGCGCAAGTGCTTTGACCGATGGGTCTGGAAGCTGTCATTCGAGCTGCTGGAGCGCATGGGCACCCCTCCCGACTACCTCGGCGCAGTAGAGCGGCAGCTGCGCGTTCAGAAGCTTTTCTTTGGCCTCGATGGATCGGCTGGCAATTTATATCCACTGTCTAACGGGTTTGGGCAAGGTGATTATGTCGTTATCCTTGTTACGACTGCGCACATGATTGTGTGGACTCGGCACGTTGAGATCGACTCCGGGGTCTTCACGGGGGGCTTTCTTCGATGACAGTCATGTTACCTGCGTGGGAGAGCGCGCGGGAGCCGCCCTCACAGCTGCCATGCAGAGGTCCATGGACTTTGACAGGGTGAGCGGCCAGCTCACGAACATGGACAAGACCGTCGCCTTCGCCACTTCCCAGGCGCTCTCGGAGGCGCTCCAGGCACTGGCGGTGCAGGGTCAGCGCCTCAACACCACGACTGTCCTCAAGTTGCTTGGGGCGCACCTCGGCATCACGGAGGCTCCAACGGATGCGCGCCCCGAGGAGCGGTACCAGTCGCGCCTCAAGGTGGTGCACAGGCCGGCCGGCCTCCCGCTGGATTCCGGCTCCAAGGCGCAGCTGCTGACAGCGGGGGCGCTCCCGAAGCTCTTCGGGGTGGAGTTCGCGGTCCAGGGCGGCGTTTCTGACCATTCTTGTGCGTGGGCATCTGGTGGATCCATGGCAACACATCCGCTATGGAGTTGTGCGCACGTGGCGGTGCTTCCTGGTCAAATCGGCTGACGGCAGGGCTGCCTGTGCCATGGTATTCGGTTATCTGCAGGTGGCGGCGCCTGGTTCGTTCGAAGGGCCAGCGCGCAGTTTCTTGGCCTTTCTGGCTGACATCTCGTGGTCCCTCGAGGGCGTCGAGATCCTGCGCGCGCGCCGGGGCGAACCCGCGCCGTGTCTCGAGGTCAGTGAATCATGCTTGCTGCGCGAGCTGCGCGACGGCCTCGAGGCGGTGGTGTGGCGCAAGCAGATGCGCCGGAAGGACGTGCCTGAGTTGGCCCACGGCGGCCGCGCTGTGGACTACGAGGCGACAGCTCAGCTCCTTCGGCGGCCGCGAGGGCTGACCAAGTTCCAGCAGGGTCTGCTCCGCACTTTCGTCTCGGGATCGATCAACACCCAGGATCGCATCGGTGCTTTCACGGAGAGCCGGCGCCTTCGGGAGGAGGACGGGACGACAGCTCCCGGCAGGACTATCTCTCGGCCGTGTCCTTTCTGTCGCTGCGGTGTGGAGGATGCAGCTCACACCCTCGAGACCTGCACGCGCCCTGACATGGTCGCAACTCGCGCAGAGCACACCACCAAGCTTCTCCAAGAAGTATATGACACGCTGCCCACCTGCACCCATCAGTGTGGCATTGCGGTGATGCGCCCGGAGGATGAGGCACTCCGCTGGCGGGCCACGGGTCTCTGCCGGCTCGGCTAGGCACCGATGCTGCGGTGGAGCTCTTCACGGCCGACCGTTTTCTCGTCGTCGCCGGCGACGGGGCCTGCCACCGCCAGCAGCTGCCTGTATGCCGGCGGGCAGGGCACGGCGGTTTCTTTGGGCGAGGGCATTCGGCCAACTTCTCCCTCCCGCTCCTGGGCGCGCAGCAGACAGCCCAGCGGGCGGAAGTATCCGCCTGTGCCCGCGTGCTGGCCCACGCCTGGTGCCCTACGGAGTACTGGACAGTCTTGGAGATAGTGTTCCAAGGCATGGAGGCGCTTGACGCCGACCGCCCGCTCTCTGCTGAACACAGGGACCTGTGGGCAGACATTGAGAGGGTCTACACCGCACGGGGCCGGATGCAGTACTTTCGGGTTCGCAAGGTGAAGGGGCATGACACGGATTGGGGGCCCGACGACCCTTCTGACCCCACCCCACACGAGCAGCAACGCGCCCTGGAGACCACGCTCAACGGGGCTGCGGACCGCCTGGCCACCGATGGGGGCGGACATGCACCAGCCCTGCGAGGACCTCGTCCGCCGGGAGGCCACCCGCATGCCGGCCACGAGGGCCGCGCAGCTTCGCGCGTTGCACCTGCTCGAGTGCCGGGCGAGCCTGCTGGGCGAGCAGCAGCTGGCGCCCAAGAGGCAGCTCGACGCGCGGCGAGCCATGGCGCCGACTGATGAGCCTGCCGCCCAGGACCTTTGTCTGCGTCCGAGTGTGGAGTACGCCGAGCTCGAGCAGCACCGCCTCCCAGAGTACCCGTGGGACCCGGCTGACATCTTGGGCCCCGCGACGCTGCTGCTCACGCGACAGCTTCCTGCGCGCGCCGGCAGAACCAGACTCGACTCGGACTGCGGGATCGACACGCACTGGCACTACCCCAACGCGCTGCTGCTGCCCCCCCATTGGTATTGGTCCAGTCTGGAGGCGCCAGTCATGCCGCAGCCGGGTGAGATGGGAATCACGTATCTGGAGCTCGCACTGGATTTTATCTTCGCCACGCACGTGATTCCTAGGGAGGCGAACGCGTCCATCGTCCCCGCCGCGTTCCGGCTCCAGGAGTATTTTGTGGCAGCTACGCGGCGCGTGGGGGCGCTCTGCCAGGATCAAGCATTTCTTGGCAAGCTCAGTCACAAGCGAGTCAGGGCGGCGGCCGCGCTTGAGCCCCCTCCGCTGCGCGGGCTCCTGGCGCGCCCCCGCCTTCGGTGCCCCTCAGAGGTGGCTCGTGTCATGCTGCACCTGGTGCGCACTAACGTCAGCAACAGAAACTACCCCAAGCAGCTGCCGCGGATCGTCCTGGGCAGCCTGCCCCCGCCGCTCTCGTCCCCGCCTGGCTCCCAGGGCCCAGCCGCGGACCCTCTGCAGGGCGAGGCCCGGGGGCCCCCGGTGGCGCTGCCAGAGCAGGCCACCTCTGCCATGCGGGCTCGGCGTGGCCACACCACTCCGCAGACGGCCGCCGAGTTGGCCACGGCGCAGTGGACCGACGAGGAGAAGACCGTCATCGATGCGGCAGCGGCCATCAATCGGCGTTTCATGGTGGTCGAGATGCGCCGCCTCCTCCACAACCGCACGGCAGCGGAAAAGCAGCTCCATGTCGCGCGGCCGCTGGGCGACCGTGCAGGGAAGTGCGCGCGGTGTGAACACTGCACATATGCGGCCAGCCTGGACTGCTTCCAGCGCTTCCTGCGGATGAAGTGCCATGCGAGCTCAGCCCCTGGTCTTCCGCGAGCGCAGCAGGTCATTCAGCTCGAGCGGGCGGGGCATCTCCGTCAGCACAACCTTGACGCCGAGGCCAAGGGGAAGCACTCATTGGTTTGGTCGCGTTGGCACGGCTGACGTGATCGAGCGCGCACGCTGCAAGGAGTTTGCCATGATGGAATGGCAGAGTATTGCCATGATGTTCAAAGAAAAATGTGTGTGTGTTATTGCTGCCTCCTGACCGTCGTCGTACGGCGATAACCTCGAGGCAAGGGAGATGTCAGCGCATGCTGGCCGCAGGAGTTCGCCCGGCGGCCCTGCCTGCTGCAGCCGAGCATGATTGATTCATGGTGAATGGCAGGAGCGAACCCCTGTAGATCGGGTGCGTCACCTACACCACAATGTTCGGACTGCGCGTGTTCGATCCCGAACTTAAAACTGAACCATTTGGGTTTCATCATCACCATCACCGTCACCATCGTCATCATCATGACCACAACTATCATCATCAGTGTGTGCAGATGCGCGCTCATGGGGCGAGCGCGCGCGCGTGCGTTCGTCTGTATACCCTACCATATAACAGGTAGTTCTGCGTCCGAACGCGCCCAACGTCGCCGAGGGCGCCCTCTCGGACAGGAGTCTGCGCGTTCCCTCCACTATTGCGCCCGCGTGGGGGGGGGCAGGCTCTCGCGGCGCTAGGGGCGACGACGATGACAAGTCCGACGACGACGACGACGACGATGGCGACGATGATGACGTCGGCGACGGCGGTGGCGACGACGACGTCCAAACGTCTCCCGAAGTCCCCCATCGTGGTTGCCCTGGTGTGCCCTTGAAGGGCTTCGGACGCCCATGGAGATTTATGAACATTTCGGAAAGATCTCAGAAGTTTTTTCTGGAGGCTTCCGACGACGGCGACGGCGACGGCGACGGCGACGGCGACGGCGACAGCGACCACGCCGTCCAGAGGTCTTCGGAGGTCCCGGGAGGTATCGTCGGAGGCTCAAGAACTCGCCGGCTGATTCTTGCGGAATCGTACAGGATCTCATGTATTGTGTTGGGTGCCCAACAACTGTTCGTGGCGGATTCTCAAGGATTTTCACGGATTTGTCTGGTTTCTTTCGCGTTTCAAAAAAAGGGGTTCGTGGAGAATTCTTCCGGATGTTCGCGGATTCTCGCGGGTTCGGTTTTGTTCGGTTTTGTTGCGCGCCGTTCTCGGGCCCCGCGCGCGCACAAGGGCCGCGAGGGCAGCGGGCGGCGATGGCAGTGACCGCCGCGCGCTTCTGAATGCTACAGTGGAGACCCATGCCCAGAAACACCGCCAGGGTGCCCTGGATTTCTTGGGTGTCGATGGTTTTGCGATGGAAAGCGCAAGGTCCCCACACCAAAAATCAATGGACGCCCTGGGGTCTCAGGGTTGGATTTCTTGTGGACGGGCCCCTACTGCATTGTGCCCACTTGTGGGCGCCAGGTACTGCCTGCGGTCGTTCCACCAGGTGCGTGCGATCGCTTGTGGCCGCCTGGCGATGCCAGTCACTGCCAGTCGGCGTTTCGGCGCCTGCGGGCGCCGCTGCGTTCCCGTGAGCGATTGCCCGGCAGTCCCTCTGAGCGCGCTTGCGGGCACCTGTGAGCAACCGCCTGGATGCGGGGTTCGGCCGTCGTTGCTGCGCGTCCTATATCAAGGGAGGAAAACCCACCCAGACCCGACAATTGGCGTTTATTAAGCAGCCCTGGGCGTGAGATGCCTTCTTTGGGTGCGTTTGCTAAGCGGTTTCACGTGTTGGGGTGATTATTATAAGGGTTGATTTTTCTTCTCTCTACTATGGCTGCTATGGCTTCCCATGGTCCCATGGAGTCCTGCGTCCTCCCATGGCCTCCTATGGCCGCCTATGGCCTCCCGCCCCGGTGGAGTTGGGCGCCCGAGTCGGCCGTTGCTGTTCGCCCCCCGGTGGCAGAGTGTAGCGTCCAGTGTTTTTTCGTGGTTCTGCCTTCGCCGGTGCCTGATCCACCGTGGATTTGCCCCCGTGGATTTTGATGGTTTCGCGTGCATTGTTCCGAAAATGTCTCGTTCGGGGCCCGCGTTTCGACATTGGTTTTTTATAGAGGGAACTCAATTGAATTAGCCCCGCGCCAGAATCGCACATGAGGACAAATACCATCCTTTTGCGAGCAACAAAAGTGAGTATCGCAGCGTTGGTTCCGAATCGACGCCGGCAGCCCAGCTTGATTTGTCGGGGGGCCAGCCTTCCCCCCCGCAACTCCGACGGTCATACCAAGAAACACTTCGCAGCACGACTCATCTCATTCAACAGGACATGCCGCACCATCTATATACTGCCATCCACCATTCCCACATACCCCTTCGACTCCAAAACGACTACAGCTATATCTCCGTTACACCAAGCCATTCAAGCAACACTTCAAACGCACAAGTAGCCACGACCAACTGTTAATTTGGCCTGACGGTTCCCACCAGCAAATCAAATCCGAATTTGCATGGTTTCCGTGGTTTTCAAGCACGACGAGAAATCGCGCGCACCACCTACAGCGACATCGACTACGACAGCCTCAGCAGCACCAAAGTACGTAGAGTTAGCCACTATCATATTGGCCATCATATACACCACGCAACAGCCTCCCCACCCCCACAAACAAATACGCTCTGATTCAGCACGCGCAATACATTGGTTGACCCAGTCTGTATAGAGCTATGAATCCATCATCAGGTTAGCTCAAGTACTACACCAGCGAGCATGGAAGACAACGTACACCACATTCCACGACGCCCATGGGCACGACGATCGCCCGCGGAATATGCTCGCGGAAGCGCATGCAGAGCAGCACGCATCGGCACATGCCAACACAGACAGCGCCCGCACAACGGAAGTAGACAGCAGGCTCCCAAAGTATGACCAGCAAGTAGCAGCACGACTAGCAGACAAACCGCTAATAGACTGGACTACTCACCAGAAAGACCATACAACAAACATTTTCGCTAAGCACATGATACAGCAGGACTGCTTCCCCTACCAGGCACACACACACACATCAACGGAGCAACCACCACCCACTACCCGTACGAACCAGGACAACATGCAAGAGCGACGACCACAATTCGAAACGTTGACAGACGACACCAACATTTCGACAGTGCACCTTGAGACTGCCACCTGCAACGCGCAAGGAGCAAACGTGGACGCAACAAGTGAAGGACTGCAGCCGCGCGACAGGCGCATCTTGCACCACGTTACGAGAAGGCAATACATACGAGTGCTGTATTTGGGAGGGGGACGAGGAGGAGGAGGAGGAGGTGGAGGAGGAGGAGGAGGCGGAGGCGGATGAGGAGGAGGAGGACGACGAGGAGGAGGAGGGGGAGGGGAGGAAGAGGAGGAGGAGGAGGAGGAGGAGAAGGAGGAGGAGGAGGAGGAGGAGGAGGGGAAGTGAACCTCCATAGGGCGGGAAGGATGACCACGCCATTCCACTTCGGGTATGTGTGGGCGTGCCCTTCCTACTCAGGGGCCCGTTGCACGACGTTTGTGAATTCGCATTCGCCTCTTGCCACTGTAAAGCACAGGTGTTATTCATAGTAGTACCACAGCAGCAGGTCGCCCCAGTTTGCAGTCACGCTCGTCTCTCGATTATGTGCCTTTTCACTGCCAGCCTTATTTAGCTCACCACGACGGGTGCGTTAAGGCACAGAGGGACGCGAGCTTCTGCGCGACACTGTAGCCCCAGGCCAACCTGCACTGACAGAGTCAGCCTAACATAGCCTTAAAAAGCAGACAGCTCACAGCTGCAATATCCAGCCGATTCTAGTTTCAAGCCAGCACCTTGCGTCAGCCACAGCTCTTGCCCCCAGCTTCACAGGCCAGCATTTACAATTCGCGCTAGCGCCCTGCCCGTAACGTAATATGTAGCCCGTTTGACCTGGCGGCTGAGGGCGGGAGGGGGTTGCGCGTAAATCTGGAAGGCACGGAGGACCTAAGACACCGCACGTTGGGCCTCTGCGGGCGGCCACCCCCATCAGGGACCCCGCGCCGCCCGAGGGGCAGTGCGCGACGTTTGTTATTTCATTGCCAGCCTATTGCCGCCGCCCAAGCACGAATGTCAATTACAGTGCGACCACGGCTGCAGCTCGCCCCTGCCTGCATTCAGATGATTGTCTCTCTGCATGCACCATCTCTGTCGGTCGATTTTCACTCGCTATGGAAGGGATGAGGCTTACTATCGGAGGGTACGGTGGACTTCTTTGCGCCCCTATTGCCACCGTCGAAGTGTGGCATTTCTTGTAATTAGTTTAACATTGCCAGCTGCAGTTCGACCCAGCTGGCTCTCGGATGTCCGTCTCTCCGTTCCTTTGTTCTGCCAGCTTTAAGTTACAGCTGTCAATATTTTCGGTTTGCAAGTCGATGCTATTCTGGCACGTCGGTAGGAGACGAGCTCCCATAGTCAATCCCACTGCGGACTACCGACCACAGTATACTCCAATAGTTGATACAGTGGCAACCACACGGTGCACCAGAACAAGGCCACCAAGTACAGACTGGACCAGACTAGCCCATCCAAGCCCCACAGCAGCCATCATACCAACTGTACACTGCGCCACTTGCCTGCTGCATTGTTGCTTTACTTGTCGCATTGTTACAGGACCAGCCACTATGTGCGCAAGGGCGGCGGGAGGTCATGGGTCGTGGGGGGCGGCGGGTGGATGGTGGATCTGTGACTGGCGGGTGTTAAGGATCACACAGGCATGCTTTAAGTTGGCCGCCCATATGTTACTAAGGGAGCCTACTACTGGCATACCATAGTTGAAGACAGAGGTATTCTGACTGGATTCTGTCCCAGCAGCATACTCAGAGGCTGCAAGCCAGGGTGTTTCGCCCGGTGCAGTCCACGTCCCCGTACCCAAGACAGCCGTTCCAATTTGCACCGTGCAGCACGCCGATTCAATTTTTCAGCGTACCTTCACCAACTCTGGCGGTGTGCGGGCGGTGTTTCTTGTGGTGTAGGAGGTACTAAGCAGCTTAGCTTACCCGTCAGGCTGTGCCAACTGGGATCTGACACGAACATTTGGCAGGCCAGTTTATGTCACCACCATAGTTCATTGTGCACGTGTAGCTCGGTTCCTCTTGTTCGGCTTCCCCCTGTCTTTCGATTCGTTCTATCTCATTCGTCGCTCTCTCTCTCCCTCTCTCTCTCTCTCACGGCCTGGCTGGCGCATTATCTGTGTTTTTGTTGGCCCGCTGTCATTTTCTTTGCTCCTGGTGCCTACCTTGACTTTGCTACGCCCGCCATGCGTAATGTATTAGCTCACTGGCTTGAGTCGGCACCCGTTTGCCTTTACACGGACGTTGCAGGCATGACGTTCGAGTTCGCCCAACGGTTCTTTGTACAAAAAGGGAGGCAGGTCGCAGCAAGGCTTGGTTTGGAAGCGTCCAGGCCCGTGAGACATTGCAGCCACGACATGCCTCCTTGTGACGCAGCCACCAGCTGCCGCTACAGACCAGACTGGGCAGTTACAGAGGACCAGTCGGGGAGTCAGTACTGCCATTCTGAAGCCCTTCCCGAGCTTCACAACGGCAGCGTTAGGCCGTTGTAGGGCACCCAAGAGGCGCGAAGGCCACAGAAGCGGAAGTCGTGACCCCTAATCCCAGACTTGAGGGGATCTTCTTCCTTCTTCTCTTCCTCTCAGCCTTTCGCTTCCCCTGGTGATCGCCACATAAGCCAGCAAAAACAAATTGCCCACGCGGGGGTATCCAAACCTATATGCATACTATCTTTGTGTAGCGCTTTTCTTCCATCGATTTCTTCATGTCGCAAACCTGGAAGTGTGCAGGGGATGTGGTGTTTTCCTTCTCTCCTCGCACGCTTTGTCCTTGTCCTCGTCCTGTTTTCCTCCGCCTCCTCCGCCGCCTCCTCCGCCTCCTCCGCCTTCCTCATGATCCCACTCCTCCTGGTCGCCCTCCTACCGATATGCTCTCGTGGGGGCGAATGCGATGTCTTCCAGCACGCGGTGATCATGAGGCTCCGAAGAGAGACACGCACCTACGTCACAAGTTTGGCAAGAACTGGCCCTGGCACCAGCTCCCAGTCAGGCGCCTTTGGGAGATCCAAGTTCGACGCCTGCTTGCACGCGGTGATCATGAGGCTGTGGTGAGAGACAGGTCTGCGTCACAAACGGGTGTTCTACCTGAGTGGTCTCATCAACTTAGACGCGAGCGGGCCCGCGTCACAGCCCCTTGGCCGGCCCCCCATGAGGACGCCCAAGAGCAATGCTTGCCAGCACGCGGTGACTATGAGGCTGTGAAGAGACGCGTCTAAGTCACAAACCTGACATTCTGTTTGAAAGGCCGAGCAAATTTCACAGAACTGGCTTGGACACGAGCGGACGCGCGAAATATTCCTTGGTTGGCCGATTTTGGAACGCTCGAGAGCGATGCCCGTTAGTACGCGGTGATCTTGAGGTTGTTCAGGGGGGCGTTTCTACGGTCCCAGATTGTTCATTGGGAAGCCGCACCAACATGGGCGCAAATAGGCCCGTATCGTGCACTCTTGGCGGCTCCGCCTTTGGAGGCCCGAGTGTGATGATTGTTATGTGCTGGTACTTCTTTGACTCTGGACAGTCGCACGTCTGCGCTGGCACACGGGCGTTTAAATTGAGACTTTCCAGCAAATTTCAAGCGAAGGGGTCTCGAACCCACTTGGGGGTCGTTCTGCGTCCCCCAGCGGTTGACCGATTCTGATGCTTGCTACTTCGCGGTGGTCGCGAGGCTGTGAAGAAGATGCGTCTACGTCCACAAACGCGTGATTACCTGAGATGCCGCACTATTCTGGACGCGAACGCTCCCGTGCTATACCCAATGCGGCTCCCCAGAGGGAGGCCCGAGTGCGATGATTGTTACATCGCGATGATCATGAAGCTGCGAAGGGGGACACGTCTGCGTACACAAACGCTATTGTATACGAGGGATCCTAGCAATTCAGGCGCGAACGGGCCCGTGCCATAACGCCATGAGGTCTCTGCCATTCGGAGGCCTAAGTTTCCCAATCAGTGCTGGCACTGAAGGGTTCCTAGCGGAAATCGAAAGATTTGGCGACAGTTTCCGGCCGATTTGGGTAGCCGGCTGGGTTCCCGGATTCCCGGTTCCGGGTTCCCGGATTCCTGGTTATTGGTTCCGGGTCGATTTCGGTGGGTTCCAGGTTCCCAGGTTACCGGGTTCCCGGTCGATCTCTTTATCGACCTTTGATCGATCTTACGATTCATTGTTGATCTCATGATCGATCTCAGTATTCATCTCACTCAATCGATCTTACCATCGATCTCATCAAACCATCGTCTGATTGACCTTTTTCTCTGGCGTAATGACGGCCACCTCGCGGTGGAGGGTGTGAACAGAGACGCGTTTACGTCCCCCAAGGGACGTCCTACAGGATCGGATGCGATCGGGCCCGTGTCATCATGATGCCTTGGTGTGCCGTGCTAGCCCGCGGTGGCCGTCATGTTGATCTCCTGTGTGAGATTGAGCGAGCATGAACGAGGCAGTACGGGGGGGGGGGGGGGCGTTCGTTAAGGCATGTGCCCAGGAGGCCTCAGACCTTGGGGGGGATCCTTACCTGATGATGGCGGCAGTGACGTTCATAGCCAATATACGATTGGAGTTCCATCTTTATCCAGACCCTGGATTCCTTATCCAATCGTTCCTTTTCCAATGTCCTCACCGTGCGAGTGCACAAATGCGTGTGTGTGATTGTGAGTACGAGAGAGACTGAATGAGTGTGAATTGGTATGAGTATGTATGAGTAGTATGCTTAAGGCGAGCTTGATACGAGTGGGTCTGAGTAGGAATGAGCACGAGTGGTGAGTAGGTACGGTAAAGCAACGGGTATAATTAGGCTGCTGTAGTGTGATTATGACTGGCCCGGTAATGGCGAACCTGTTTGTGAGCAAATTTGGACGTTAGTGATTTAGCAACATGCGTGACCCTGGGCACGCGTGAGATCTGAATGCGGGCCGCCAGGCATGCCTGAGTCTGATGACTGAGCGACCGGACGCGAGAGAGCCTTGAGCGGGAAAGGAAGAAAGGCGTTGGAGGCATGACGCGCCTTACAAGAACGTCGTATTGACAGGGCGAGGAGTCACAGCAACAGCACGCGATTCAAGCACAGAGGGAGGGCTCAGGTTCCGTGCGCGAGCCCTCCAAGTTGTCGCTGCCCAAGGCGGACGAGCCGACGAGGGGCGCTTCTGGCAAGGTCCCGACGGCGGTGCCGTTCGAGGTCAGACCCGAGGGGAGGAGGCGGACGCAGGAGGAATCGTGCGAGAGTGCGTCTGGGATCTTCATAGGAAGATCAGCGAGAGGAGGAGAGGGGTCAGGAGGGGGAGAGCGAGAGGAGGGGAGTGGTCAGGAGGGGGAGAAATGACTGCGTGGACTGTGTTGTTTAGCCCGAAACCTACTCGGGAAGCACACATAGGGAGATGCGCAACTGCCCCACTTACGGCACTGAAGCCCCGTAGGTGACACAGCCCCAAGAGGGAGAATAATGAGGAGCATTGGAGGTGGAGGCAGAGGCGGAGGCGGAGGAGGGCGATGACGAGGAGGAGGAGGGCGAGGAGGAGGAGGAGGAGGGATGGGGGGAGGAGGGATGGGAGGAGGAGGAGGAGGAGGAGGAGGAGGACGAGGAGGAGGAGGGGGAGGAGGAGGGGGACCAGTGTAAACCCAAGAGTCATCAACGATGTTGGAGTTCACCCGTCCTCCAAGCTCCCTTTCCATAGGCCCCTACAAGTTCCAATTCCATTGAGGGAATTGCTTCGTTGGAAAACAACCGTTTGAAGACCCTGAAGCGTGCCAACAAAAATCTCGGGATTTCAACGCCACGGATCAACCTGACTGCTGCGTCTTGACGATCCAGAATCGTGCCAGAATGCCATGTTTTGGATTTCAGCACCTCGACTCAACATAATTGTTGCACCCGCATAATCCTTAATTTTTCCAGAACGCAATTTATGGTACGCTGATTATGAGATACCGTGAAACCGCTGCAATCTGTTAAAGTGCATGTGCGCGGCGCTAAGGCGAGAGCCACGTCTTGAAAAAAATGCCTTCAACCCGTGGAATCCCTACAATGTTTAAAGCGAATGTGCGCGGCGCTAATGCGAGAGCCACATGTTGAAAAGGAACCGCCCTCAATCCGCGAAACCGCCGAAATTTGTTAAAACAAATGTGCGCGGCGCTAAGGCGAGAGCCACATCTTGAAAACGGGCCGCCCTCCACCCGTGCAACTCTTGCAACTGTTTCAAACGAAAGCGCGCGGCGCAGGCGAGAGCCACCTTTTGAAAACCACCTGCCTTCAATCCGTGAAACTCTTGTACAATTCTAAAACGAATGTGCGCGGCGCTAGGGCGAGCGCCACATTTTGAAAGCGGCCCGCCCTCCATCTGTGAAGCCGTTGTCACTTTTTGAGTTTCAGAGTCATACATGGTGGGGAAGTCTCAGGCGAAACGCCCAGCCCGCCCCAAAAACCTGGCCTCGGGGTGCGACAGGGAGAAGTTATGTGTAAGGATAGGGAATGGTGGAGGAGGAGGAGGAGGAGATATTCTGCGCGCCGCGGGGCAGCGCGGATGAGGGGATGCGGGGCAGGCGCGCAGGAGCAGCGCGGGAGGGGGGGGGGCACGAGCCGCGTGAGGGTGTGCCGGATCGGGCGTAGGCCCGCGTTCGCACACATTCATTGGGGCCGTGTGTAAGTGGAGCTCCTTGTGGGGAGGAGGAGGAGGAGGAGGAGGAGGAAGTGGAGGAGGAGGAGGAGGGGGAAGAAGAGGAGGAGAAGGAGGAGGTGGTGGTGGAAATGGAGGTGGAGGTGGAGGTGGAGGAGGAGGAGCAAGCAAGCAAGCAATAACCCATGGAGTCCTGGTGCAACGCATCGGTCAGACGGAAAAACATTGCTTTGCAAACTCTGGGGGGCATTTCATTTGAACGCCGAGTGCCCCTGGACGTGAGCCCTGTGCTCTCGCCCACAGGGCGCACTGCCCCTGTAAGGGCAACCCTCTCTACGGGCACGCATCCCTGGAGGGCGCCCTCAGGGGCCCGAGGCGCGCACCCCGCCCACCCCCCCATCGGAGGACGAGGGGGGAGGAGGACGGTGGGGACAGTTCGGGCCTCCGCCCCAGGGATCCGTGCCCCTGGGAGTCTCCCACTCTGCAGGAGCTCCTGGTACCTAATACTATTCGACCATACGCTAGAGCTATCTCCTCTCGTCGGAGGCGTAGCTCGTCGTCTACTCGAGTTGTCCCGTCCACCCCCGCTCCACCCCCGCCCACGGTCGGAGACGCTCCACTGTTGACTCGCTGCTGTTGTCATGCTGTTGACAAAAGTTACCGATGCTGCTACACTAAACCGCGTAGACTCGACATTCGTTCTAACAGAAAAAGGCCGAAACACGTTGTTCCTCGGCCCTTCCTCTCTGCTCCTCCGCTCTACCTCTCACTACGTCGCCCGTTCTCAGAGCGATCTCCCTTTGCCCTGGGCCTCGATGATGCGCGCCACTTCCCTCTCGAGCGGGCCCCTGGAAGCAGCTCCCGTCTTGCGCACGCCGTTGAGCGCCATCATCGTCTTCATGATCAGCTGGCGCAGGTTGGTGGCATGCTCGCGGTTCGGGTCCAGCGCCCAGACGATCCTCCCTTTCGGCTCGTCGGTGTTTTCTTTCTTGCCTTTGTTAGGCCGCCAGCGGAAATGCAGGACCAGCCTCCCAGGACTCGCGCCAGTCCTTCGCCAGCTCGCCATCTAGCTTGTTCACGGCCAACAGGGCGCCCGCGGAGAAAATCTGCACGTGCGGCGGGCCCCTCGAGCCCCAGTCGATGCTCTGGCCTTGGGCCTGCTTCTCCTTCCACTCCTTGCTCTGCACGTCGTACTTCTTTCCCGCCTCTCGGAGGGCCTCGGGCATACCGTTGGCGGCGTCGGCGACTTCGAACGTGGTTAAGACTGTGCCGATGACCTCTGCGATGGCACGACTGTCTGCCAGCACCAGGCGCGCCAGCACGTAGAGCAACTTCGTGTCGTCATCGGACGTTGACCCTCCTGTGTGCGCCTTCTTCGAGGCGGGTGGCCCTGCCGAAGGCGGGTGCTCGTGCAGCTGCTTCATCCAGGCAGGCATCGTGGCGTCGGCCGAGCTCATTGTCTCGGTCTGGTCGGGCTCAGCATCGCATTCTGGACCATGCTGATAAACACAGCGCGAGTCCATTTCCACGGGGCTGAAAGACCCCAGAAGCCACCCATATTGTAGAACCCATTCGAAGCCGCTTCAAGACGCCTCTGGACTTCTGAAGACGAGGTACAGGAAAGATTGATGTGCGGACCCAGGTACTTCGCTTCCTCCTGGAGACTGCCCCCAAGTTCTCTCACCGCGTGTTTTCGTATCCATCTTCTGCATGCCAGAGAACCCTCCCCTCCCACGTGGACCAGAAACACTTGTTTGTCGAGACTATGCTTATAGCCAATGGTATCCAGGGCCTTATCGAGGATCTTACCTGAGTCCTTGAGCACCTGGAAAAGCCAGAGACGGACTGAAACTCCTGAGCCAGCGTAAGCTTCAGCAAGTCGTCTGCATACTTAAAAAGGCTAAGGTCGGTCGTGAGGTCCTCGCCTGTTCCTGGCAATCGAAAGGTCGCCTGCAGGGCAGAGGAGGTGGGGTGTTGGTCGGACTACATCCAGCGGTTCATTGGCCTGCGGAACGTGCCTAAGAAGAGTTTCACCACGAACAGATCTCCCATCGTTCCTCCCTCCAGTGGCGCCACCCATAGGTCGTCGTCGTCGTTAGTCGGTAGTTTCACACGTGTTTCATGGTATCTCTCTTTTCCAAGTACGATATCGTCGAGCGTCGATGCGAATATCGCCACCGTCTTGTCAAGCTCCCTCCAGTCCCCCGTCCCGAACGCGTTAGACAAATCCTTGGAACCTGCGGCAAAACTTCTGCCCGCTCTTGTTAAACTCCATGCTGTGGCCTGCGCAGCGAGGATGGCGCCCTCTCGGCGTCTCCACTTGACGAAGCCAAAGTCGTACGCATCGGCGGGTACATACAGCAAGCCGGCATACAAAGACTTCCCTAGGGCGGGGAAGAGGTACACGACCCTTTTCCCCTTAGGGCCGTGGGCGGTGCTCTTCCGCAGTGCAACTCCGTTACTGGAATGCCATTGGGACGGGGTGAGGTCGAGGTTCCGAATCATCCGAAAACCAGCCACCAGCGCCCCTTCGAAAAATTGCATGTCAGGAGTGTTATCCGAAGCGCCCAAACCCCGACGTTGTCGAACAAGCTGTTTCTGTGGGTGCATACACATCCGCCAGAGCTCGACGGGAGGAGTATCTGTTGGGACTCCTCTTCTTCTGGGGGCCTTTTGGATCGCCTTCTGGACTCTCTCGTAATCCTCCTGGGCCATGTTGATGACATCGGGGGTGGGCGGGTAGAGCGGACCAGAAAAAAACAGCAACAGGGGGTTACAGGAGGAGGAACTTCACGTACTGACATACCTCCCTGGCCTCCTGGAAGTGTCCAAACCTGGAGCCATTCTTCACGGGTTGGCATACTAGTGCGAACAAGCCTGAGGTCTCCTTTTCTGGGTCCAAAACGACATCTAGCTGCCTGACGCGAAAGTCTCATTGCCAATGATGTTTTACGATGCTCCCAAGCTTCCTCTATCTCATCCTGGATCTGGTTCCTACGCGCCTGAGCCTCCTGCCGTCGAAGCAACTTGAGAGTCTGGGAGAGGGCCTTCAGCTGCTCATTGATGTCCGTCAGGTCGGCGTCATTATCGCTCCTCGATTCCCTCAATTCAGCTCGCTGTCGTAGGAGCTCACGGCGCATGTGGTTCTGTTCCCGTCGTATTGGGTCAGCGCGTTCACGGAAGCAGTCCAGGCCTGCCTTCATCAAAATTTGGTCAAGGTAAGCAAAGAAAGCGTCAGGCGTACCACTGTCCAGTAAGGGTCTCCAAATCTCCCATTCATTTTCCAGTGTCTGCTCTATCTGGTTGAAAAAGCGTGCCTTGCCATCCCCTTCTCTTTTCAATGCATCCAGGAGCTTATCGTTGTCAAGGTGCGGGTCCCGGACAGGTCGAGCGATCTCGGGGTCCTTGGAGATGTTCAGCTCGATAAAGAGGGGCATATGATCGAGTGGAGGTTTGCCTCTGTATGCTTGGAGTCGAGCTCCCAGTCGACGAAGGGTGTGGCATCTTGTAATCTGACCAGCACATCCCCATGGCGCAAATCTGTAATCAACGAGGCTACTGCCTC